CTAAATGCGTTACCTTCATGTAATTACGGTATCACACCACAGAGTAATTGCATAATTCAAAGACCTGGTACTTGTATTTGAAGTTTATATTGAAAAGCCAAGTGCGTCATCAGTAATTACAAAACAACTAATCACCATGTACATGCAGTACAAAGTAGCCAATGGCCTCTGCAAAATAAAGCATTATATGGCCTTTGAGACCTTGTGCAAATTATATTTAAGTGTAATTCTTCAAATACTGTTACTGTTCCTTCAGTGTAAGAGCTTGTTGATTCAGATGTAAGCCCACTGTATAAAATGTTCTTATTTGAGTTCACAGCTAAAAACATTCTCAGTATCTCAGTTATTTGTATCTCTGTCATTTCTAAAAGCAACACGTATGTTTCCTCCATTTGGTCTAATCTTGACTAATGTATATTATGTAGCTGTCATTTTTTTTATCCATACACTTACCATGTATATTTTTTACTTGGTTTGAATAATGTCAATAAATATTTCCCTTGATAAAGCTAGCTTAGCCAAACATTTTTAATTTTCCTAAACACTCTATCTGGAAATGGGAAAAACCACTGCACTGGAAAAATAAGATATTCATATGTAAATATCAATGCAAATCTCCTTATTAGCTTGTCCACCGATCTACTAAATGTGTAATTAAAACCCACAACACTGAGTGGCTCTCAGGCTCTGGATAATCAAATGAGCATTTCCAATAGAGTGAGACACATTGCAGGCTTGAGTCTCGGAAGTGTTGCGTATCTTTAACTCTCACTGAAATTGAGGGGAGTTGAGATTGCGCAGCGGCTTGCAGGATCAAGTCTCTAGAGCCCCAACACAGGAAAGCACTCAAGCACATGCTTACATCCAACCCTTTTCAGGAAAGTTTTGCAGTGTGTGCCTAAGGGCTTGTCATCTTGTACAGTACTAGAGCAGCACAGGTGCCACTGTAGCGTTTTAGTAAGATGCTCCTACACTGGTGGGAGAGCTTCTCCTGATGGTGTAGTTAATCCACCTCCGCTAAAGGGCTATGTCGGAGGGAGAAGCTCTCCCGTTGACATAGTGCTGTCTACGTTGGGGGGAGGGGGAGTTAGGTGTGTATTCCACACCTCTGAGCAATGTAGTTATACACCTCTACCCCGATATAGTGCTGTCCTCAGGAGCCAAAAAATCTTACCTTTTTGCAGTCATCCCACAGGGTACAATGCCGATAGGAGCCCATGAGAATTTTGTTTACATTAGGGTGTGAAGTCAGGAAATGCTCTGTATATTTTTATTTTCTGAAGAATCTTCCTGATTAAAGTTTTTAAAATTTTATTTCTGCTGAGTCTGAGGAATGCTGAAATCTGCTCAGTTGTTCATTTTGTGAACTAATTCTAAATGTATTGCTTGCAAATTATTTTTAAAAGTCATCATTTTTGGCTCCTCCTTTATTAACCCCTCCATGCTGCCCACACTGCAATAACTATTGATCCCCCCCCCCCCAGTATTTCAATGAATATTAGGTGACAATCTAGTGAATGTGTCTATGGAAAAAAAAGGAAAGGTTACTAGATATCTTTCCATATCTCTGAGCTTCTTTAGCCAGTTTAAAGTACACAACCCTGTTGTCATAAAGACAATGTCCCTTGTCCACAGCAAACAATTACTAGGAAGGGATAGTTCTGTTCAACAGTACTATATATGGCATATGTTTATTTTATTTAACAGGATAATGTGAGCTGCTGACTTTCTAATTGTCATACTGAAGTTCATATTAGCTCAGTTTAATTAATGTCAAAGGGAATAATGCACTTTATTTCACATGGTATCAACCAGTGTTAAAAAGGACACATGAAATACAGTATGCCTGTGTCTTGTTTTTCATTAAATACAAAATATATCGATAAGTTGCAGATTGGAACAAATGATAATCTAAATAGGTTTTGGCAGAATCTTTCCAATGAATTAAAAAAAGTCACATGAAATGTGACTTACTATGAAAATGTGTCCACAGTCTATTTTTGAATTGCACAAAAATATTACTTTTTTCAGTCCTGTATTAACTCTTTGGTTACTCTCTGATTAATGACAGAAAGCATCCTGCTTTGTAGATGGGGTGAATGGATATAGTTGAAATCCATGACTGACTATAATGAGGATTATAGTTATAAGCAATATTGTAAAACACACTCTAGCTCTGTTTATAATTGGAACAAGCTTTTAAGGCCATTTGTTAACTAATGGCCATAGAATGAACCTGTACTTTCAACATACTATATGTTAAATTTTCATCCAGATAGTCCAACCTCTTTCTCACTAAACAGTATTTGAGATAATGTAAGTATGCCTCAGTGCAACAAATGTCTTATATTCTCTTCTGTATGTCATTCTTATTAATGGTATTCTGTTCTGGCATTCTCCTGGTTTTAGCTGTTTGGAAGTTTTCATGGGATTATAGTGTATACATGTTTGAAGCATCATTGACCCTCAGGAGTTTTCTTCAAAACTATCAGATATGGCTCATAGAAATTTTTTTTGTGAGTTTTGGCATCTGACTTATTTTGTTGGATATAACTGATTTGAAAAATTATGCTCTCAGCTACAAGGGCATACATTAAAAGTGAAGGGAATTATACCCTTTTATCTGAGAAGACAATTGGGCACAGTATGTTTATTTTTGAAATCTGGATGCATAAAAATGTTGTTACAAATATAGACACTGGTCTTGCCCTCAGATTAACTCTTATGGGTCTCCCTGTAGGTGCAAGGGTCTGTACGCATTGGCCCAACTGCAAGATCTGAGCTTATAACTTAAGACTCAGTCCTTATGTTTTGCAACTCCCATGTGATTTCTTCTGTGTGGAAGCACTGCACAATCAGTTTATCCCAGAGCTCCTGTGAAGAGCTTCCTAAAAGCTTTAGCAATGATTTTGCTGCTTTATATTGTTCTTATAGACATTCAAAATACAGCCCCAAGGCCACAATTAAAACAGGGGCAAATGCATACAATGTCTACACAGGAGATGCTCTTATCCATTGAAAAAGCTCATTCTGGGTCAGTTGGCCAATATATATAGCGGTGGTACAAATTGCTAGCTGACTTACTAGTAGCTCCCAATAGCTGAAAAGGCAAAGAACAAAAGCCGGAATTATAATGAAACTGACCTATGCATACATTTTCATCGTCCAGCTCTGCAGAAGCATTTCTGAAGTAGCCCAGCCTGCATAACTCACAGTGCTGCCCTCTAGTGTTGTGTTTACAGCTCACGCAAATGACTGTATTTAGCAGCTCGATGTAACTGCACCGGTTGGAGTGGCCGAAGCATTCACAGTCTTGCAAGGAAGAACAGAAATGTATACAAAATGTATACAGTAGCAGAGTAATAGCACATTACATGCTTGGTTAAAATGCACTATGCATAGAAGATGAATGGGAGCACATACATGTTAGTCAGTGTAACACATGGACAACAACAGATGTTTGACTGGCATGAACATGACATCTGTTTCAGGCAGGTTAAAATGATCAGACATTCATGACTCTGAAGATTGCTTCTCCTCAGTAGATCTGATGGAAATGACGCATTTGCAGTTGTAAACCTTTCAAGGGTTTTGTAGGCTCGGTTTACAAATGCATATCTTTTGCACATTTGATATGGAAATACTCAAAACACGTGCAAAACTTTCTTACACTTAAAAAAAATTACAAAATGTTAAATACATAGGACAAAATTGTCAAACTTGGGTGCCCAAAGTCAGGCATTTAAATCCACAGTTAAGCACCAAAATAAACCACTCTGATTCTTAGAGATGCTGAATAAGCATAACTCATGCTTAAGTAAATAAAAGCTGTGGATGTTGAATACCTATGAAAATCAGGCTATTTCACTGAGATGCATAATGCATCCGAATTTGAAAATTTTGGCCAGCATTCCCAAAACAATTAACTTGTAAGGACAGAAAGGAACAGAGATGAGTGCCATTTTAATGCCAGTTAAACTGTCATCTTGAGTCAATACCCAACCTATCTTTATACCGATGAGAGAACTTTTCGCATTTCAAAAATATCATGGAAAATTCTTCCGTTTGTGTAGAATAGGAAGAATGGTTACCATAGCCATCTAACTTGTAGTGCCCACTTTAGCCACTATAATTGTATTGAAAAAATATAACAGGCATTGGAATTCTGTCTTTATTTATAAAACCAATTTATGACTTGGGCACAAAAAAGTCATCCTAAACTTTTATTAGCAATTTTTTGTTGTTGTAACCAAGCATGACACATAAGGCTAAGATGTCTGATCAGCTTGTCCTTAGCTTTTGTAATGACCTGCTAGCAACACAAGATTTTGAAGCAGTCCTGTACCCTTCTCTCTGATCTGACAGAGACTCTGTGGTCTGCTATAGTGGCATAATTAATTTCTGGGATGAGGACACCAAACATACTGAACCTACAATCAAGCCAACTGGCCAATCAATGAAGTCATATTGTAGGTGGATTTGGAAGAAATAATTTACCTTGCTTTGCCAACTTCCAACCAGCCGTTGTATAATATCAGATCATTAGGTAATGAAAGTATGTTCATTATAAAGGGGAGGTAGGGAATCTGACGGTACGATTGCTAACATCTATTAATGAGCAGAGAGGAAGCTAATGAATGTGCTATGAATGACCAAAACTCACCCGCATGGCCCTGTGATGTAACCTTTCAATACAATAATATCATAAACTCTTACAAAGCTAGGAAAAACAAAGCTGCATAAAAATTCATTAAATAGTTGTAACAGAACTTGGTCCAAAATATAGTTTGGACTAAAGAAGCACATTCTGTAGTTATAGCTGACTCAGTTTTCTCTCCCTCTTTTTCACACACTCTGACAGACATATCATAGTAGGTGACTCCACGCACTTGTTCTTGTTTCATCAGTACTAAAGAAAAAAATGAAACTGTGCCTTGTACTTAACCACACTAACATGGACCCTGATACTTCTATTACATGAGAGAAATAGCTTTGTGAGTTAAGGCTCCTCCTGTCAACCCAGCTTCCGCCTCTCGGGGAGGTGGAATACCCACATCAATGGAAGAAACTCTCCCGTCGGTGTAGATAGAATCTTCACTAAGTGTTCCAGTGCTGTATGTGTAGCCAACCCTGATAGTTTACTCCATTAAGGTTAGGTGAAGATTTGGGAACCTTGGCCATTAGACTGATAGTGTTACTTGATATAAATTAACCTCAGAGACAGTCTAGTGTCTGATTAAGGGTAAGCTGTGGTGGAAAGTGAAAGAAATAACCACAGCTTCTTTATCATTAAATAAGATAATTGCTAATACAATAATGAGCGTTCTGCCTTGGCCTGTAGCCATTGGGCTTGATTTTCATTTACACTAATTCTCTTTCACACTGTTCTGGTGCCCTAAAATGGGCTTACATTGTGACAATGATGTAAAGGGGTTTTCATGTAAATGAGGATCAGGTAATTTCTCCACTGGTAATATTAGGCCTGTTATCACAGCCCAGTAGAACATAGTACCTAGAATTGCATGCTACATCTTACAAGCTGGGACGATAAAACAGGGTTGGCAGAATTCTATTTTTGTTTTTTGATATTTTTGGTGGATAATATCAATGTTTATTTCAAAGCATTGTTCATTTTTTATCAATTTAAATGTTCACAGTTGGAAATTATGGGGATGAGTGTCAGACAATAGGAGGGTCAGACAATATCTATTTAATGGTAGTAGACACTGAGATTCCAAAAGTTAAAACTTTATATGCATTAAAACACAAATTGTCAAAATCACATGTCAAAATATACACAGTAAATATCGTTACATCAAACTTTAATAAGTTCTTAAGCAGCATTTTTCTGACTTTGCTTATCTGTATATTTCCATTATTGTTGATGGATTTTTTTTGTATGTGTATGTACAGTGACATTGAAGTTTACTGATATTTGGCAATAAACATTTAATCTGTCCAGGTCTAAAGATAATGCATATTGCCACTGTTGCAGCTTTCTCACCTTTCTGGCATAGGAACAAGTGAGTCACCCTAACCCTTACACTGAAAGACCAGAGTATGATATTATTACCCTCTGATTAGTATAGGCTGAAATACAACTTTAGTTTCTTAGACACACAGGTCTGTCTGGCAGCCAAGGCAGAATTCCATCATAGGCAAAGCCATTCAATCACTGATATGGGGGTGAGGGGGAGGTGGTAAAAGCTAGTGTGCTAAAGCACTAACAAAAAAAATATGAGAAGTGCTTACAATGTTGGCATATGCTGCTTTCAGTTTTGAGCACCACATGTCAGAAAAGACAGACAAATTGGAGAGAGTTTAAAGCTGAGTAACAATAAATGGTAAATGGTTTGGAAAATAAAATCTCAGAGGAAAGGTTAAGATAGGTGGGTATATTTAAAGCAAAGAAAAGGAGCGCAGAGATAGTCAAGACCAGATTTGATAACCATCTCTCTGGATGAATCAGGAATTATCAAATCCCTTATCAAAATGCAAAGGGATGAACGAGAAGACCCATTAAAGGTGCTTTTCTATAAAAACAATCCCATCAATATTGCAAAATCAAGATACAATTGCAGTTTAAAGGAGATGCATAAAATAATATCAACCATCAATCATTTTATTCTTCTCCGCTTCTAGTTTTAATACCTCTCATTCCTTTATGAGGAAATGCAGCTATGCAGTCACATGTGTGAAATGATACTGTCCTGTGCTGTGGAGTCTAGCTCCAGCTCAGGCTTGAACCATTCCCAGTGAAACTGTCACATGAACAGCTGTAGAGGTATATGGAAGAGAATCATAATTTTTGAAAAAAGACATTCCTTAGGTGATGCGTAAGACACCTGTTGCTTCCCTATTTTAATTAACAGAATACAAGACTCTTTCAAGAAGAGAGAATTTTTTAAAAAGTCTCATTTTTTCATTTCCTGACAGATCTCTCTCCCTCTTCCTCCACTACACACTAGCAAATTAGATTTTCATTATAACTTTAGAAATAAGCTGCTTCAGTTTCATAACAAACAGTATGGTTCATTATCAGTTTCATTGACTGGGTCAAACTTAATTCAGATTTTTGTTAAATAAACCTATGCCTTAGTAACTCATGTTTCATGAATAATGAGCTGTTGACAATGATAAATGAGAAAAAACAGAACACCTTTTATACATACACCAGACAGATCAAATGATGAGGAAAAAGTTCTCAGATGGATTTCAGACTGTGAATGACAGATATTTAGCTACAACTGCTTGTCTTTAAGTCATCAAGGCAATACTGCTATCCTTTCAAAATGCCAATATAATTCCGCGATGTTTATATTAAAATCATATCTGTTGATATGTAAACCAATGCATGCCTATAAATAAAGTTTGTACTATATTAACATACAATGGAGATGTATGGTATACTACCAGTGCAATAGGAGACTTTTTTGAATATCATATCCTTACACCAGATGGTATTTGTTTTATTCTAGAGGATATGAACAAGAGATCATTTCCATATTGCCGGCCCTCAACTAATTCATTTACATTTCCTCATTTACAGTCTATGTAAATTAGTGACAAAGATAATCGTTAGGCTAACATGTTAGTTTTCTAAACAACAACCTGGACTGCCATATTCTTACTCACATTTAATTCTTTCAAAAAACAAATGCTCCACTATTTTATATACAAGCAGAGATTGTCTATAAAGCATATTTATTCTGTTCTTCGCTATGGCTTATGTTGTTTGTGATACTTAATGCTTTTATTGCTGTCAATAAACATGCCCCACCAATAAACTGATAGGTACACTTCACAGATATTCCAGATTCATACAGTGCAATGTTCTCACAACACATAACACTAGGAAATCACTGTATGAATCCAAGAATTCCTACCTCTCTTGTGGTTTGCAACTTGAACAGAAGAAACAGTTGACAAAGCTAATTTGGGAGTAACTGGATAGGTTTAAAAACATGAACAATAAATTAGAAAGGTATCATATAGGAACAAATAAAAAAGCTTAAAAATGAATTACTTTAGTCACTACATTTTTAATTAGCTTTAAAAAATTCAACATAAGTGAGTATTTTTTAATTGTTTACTGTTCTGAAAGGGAAGGTTGATATTGAGGTGAAAATGGGTGAAACGCTATCAATGATTAAGGTATTGGAAATGATGAAAGGTTTTAAAACAGGAAGGAGAGATGGTTTTAATAGTCGTATCTGCATTCTTATTTGGCTTTGGCTCAGATGTTATATATGACCTAAGGAGTTTCTTCCCAAGTCCATAATTACTGACTATACAATATGCCTCATGGTCTATATAGTTTTGATCAAATTTATGTACAGATGTTGTTCTAATTGTACTATAAAGAAAAGCATAATAAATAATGTACAGGTATAGGCAGCATTCTGTAATCAGGATGTGCATATATTATACTTCATATACTTGACTCAAGGATCTTAATTCTGATAAATATTAAACTCTTAACAATATGCTCCAAACAAGTAATCTAACCACAAAATAGTTGAAGTTTTTTGTGCTTTGTGTTCTCTCCTAACATGTAAAAGCTAAAGAAAAACTTGTGTGTGGGAACAATGCATAATCTTGTACTGCTCAAGATGCATTGTGAAGTGATGTTAATCACTTGCAGTATAATTTGTTAAACTATGAAATCCATTAGAAATGCTAAGTGTCATTTTGTTGAGGATGTTTTGATTGATAATGCATATGAATAACAAACTAAACGTTGCTGCTAATCCTTAAAGAAAGCAGTAGAGCAGAAATCAATTTGTTTTTCTTCTTTAAGGAACACATGCAGAAACTTGGAAAATATAACATGGACTAGCTGATTAAGATGATTCTATTTGTTAGTAACCTATGTGTATCTAGGGCAGTTTCAGTTTCATCACCATGATCAAGGACTAATACTGTAGTCCTTACAATATAACTCCCCAACAAATTGCTAATGTATTTTGTTTAGTTTAACAGCTATTTCCTGGATCTTCCTCTTGCTCATTTCCTCCTCCTCCATCTGTATTCATTAGAGTTTAAAAAGAACATCCTGTGCATAACCATGGCAAGCTGCAGACCAGAGTTCTGCAATTCTGGGGGGAAGGTGTAGGGGAGGTTGGGGAGAGCAAGGGGATTTCATGTTAAATAATGAACGGGTTTACATTTGATTGTCAAAATTTGCAGCATAAAAGCTAGTATGAACACAAATTCAAATGAAAAAGCATTTTACTTTATATTTTATTACTCTTAAAAATCACTCTATCCCTTTCTGCAGTAATCATCATGCCACAGTCTGTCACTGTAATTTTTTGTATGTCATTGGAATTCAGATGCAGAAGTATTGCACTAGGGATTTCAGAGAGATTGCTGTCAATGCTAGAGGAAATGTAGCTTATAGAGCACAATGAAGAATACTTAGAAACATCTCTTCTGTGACCTGACCTGCTTAAAAAAAAAAAAAAAAATGGAAGAAACCCCAAATTCTGAAAATACTGTATATAAGATTGTTAAAATAAATTCCAGGAGACTATGGTCCAACTGTCTTGGACTATGCAGCTGAGCTCTGAATACAAATGGGAATAACATTCAGTTCACGTAAGAAAACAAAGTGAAAGAGAGACATTAAGAAATGGGTTTGATGTAGACAATGGAAATCTCTGGCACTCAAAAGTCTTGAAACTTTCTCATAAAGCAAACGGTGATGTCTATACAATTCCAGGCTTCTCCAGAGACTCACTTTAAATTTAATCTATGAAATTGCTTACAACTTTGGTGGCTTCTTTTCCATACTTTTTGCAGTAGTGTTTCTAGTCCAGAATCTATATATTAAAAAAAGCCTTTTTCATGTAAAATTTCATTTACGCTAATTCTCAATAGATTGGTTTTGACAATACCATTACTTAGTACCAAGAGAAAAAGGAGCTGGATTATTATTATTTTTTGCCAACATGTGGGATTTTATTAAAGCAATTTAAGTAACTTTCGACCAGTAGGAATTTTACAGAATCCTACCTTGATTTGGTTTAGAAACCTCAAGGGAAGAAATATTCGGCCATATCCTATCAAACTTTGGTGGATCTGCATGCATCAGGAAAAATCATGATTTGTTATTTACATATGTGATATTGTTCTAAACAGAGAAGTGTATGGACAACGACATAAACCACAAACATCTGCTACTGGACTTGTCTATGATGCACTTGAACAATATGTTACTCCCACATTGAACAAGAACAAGCAATTGATGATTCCCAAAACACTGAATGGACATTAAATACTGTATATAGCAATTTATCTTTCAGGATTTTAGATATTAACTGCAGTGTTTATATATAAAACACTAATCCCAAACCAGGAACCTTTCTGTTCATGCTATTATTTTAAACCTAGCGTCCAGAGATAAAATGACAATATAATATAAATACAGTAATTTCTTACCATAACATCTCATTTTAAGGACTTTAAACCTACATATACTTATATTAAAAAAAAAAAAAAGCTTCTGCTATCAGCAAGTTATATTTACTAGGGGAGTGGGTTATTTTGTTCTTAATTTTGTATATTGTATCTCTTTCCCATTGCCCCATCAATATCTTATATAGCTTGATTTCTTTTAAATAAATAAGGAAATTAATTTTTTCTTAAAAACGTTAGATAAAGGGAAAGATTTCTGAATTAGTTGGGTAGGTTCCCAAACCACAGATTTTCCAATAAAAGATGAATCCCCCCTTCTCTTCGTCAGATGCATCAGTTCACACATATAGAAAGTGCATGGCAGCAGCCAATGGGAAAGAGAGCACACATGAATGAAAGGTATCAAAAACGTGTATTTGTAGAGGTAGAGAGATCACCATAGCACTTGATGAAAGAGTGGCTAGAATTGTATGCACCTGTGAGATAGCTTCCCTTTTTCTAGAGTACTGACATAGCTCTGATAACGGATCACCAAAAGCAAGTCGACAAATTACTTTATTTGGTCTTGTGTTTGAATAACTGAGGATTGATCTAAAGATGTTAAGGGACACTGAATATAGCCTCTGTATGTCTCGCACGCACGCACGGTCTGAATAAAGAGAATAGGAATCTCCTAGCTGTCTTACCTGTGGTCTGATAGGATCTGATCCTTTTACTCCCCTAGCCACTGTGTAATAATACATCAAAAATCTTTGAGACAGACTAAAGTTACGTCTAGCAGAATGGCTCTCTTCTTGGCACATACCCTCCAAAAATTAGAATAGTAAGGTGGCCATCAGCTGAAATGGCCTAGGCATTATCAGCAATAACATCATATTATGTCAAAGCTCAAAGGAAATCTGCACAACACTTTCAAAAGACGAACTTGGGAGCTTAAATTCATAACTTTGCTAGATACTAAAAATCATGGACTGAATAGACACACTGGATTTATGGGCTACTACAATGCTCTCTCTATCCCACTAACGACCCCCCTCCCAGCTGCTTTCCCCCCTTCCCTTCCTCCCTATGACTGGAGGAGTGTTAAAGGGCCACTTTACCTTAAATGGCCCCTTGAAATATATGTTAACTACTTAAGCTAAACAATCTGCTCCACCTTGTTTTTAGCTGTGACACAAGTACCTTTCCCAGACCTGAAGAAGAGCTCTGCCTAAGCTCAAAAGCCTCTCTCCCCCCAACAGAAGTTGGTCTAATTAAAGATATTACTTTACCCACCTTGTCTCCCTAAAGCTCTGTAATACATTTAAGACCAGCCCTACTGAGGATCTGTCACTAACTAAAATATATGCCTTATCATAGTAATCAGAGCAATTCCTACTTTGAGACCTATATTTTCAGTCTCTTGTCTGAATGAGCCTACTAATCACATGACTAGAGATATCAACCAATTTACAGTTCTCTCAGTAATATTGCTGATAGCCGTACAGGATGTTTTCACTCAAGTGCTGTAGATTATATTATGAAAACTTGTTTCAGAAAACCTATTTAAGCTATGGACCCCATATAGGGGATGAACCAGGATAGAAAATACAACTCTAATGACCTTTCAAATTTATTTACAGTAAGATGAGTTTGCAAAGGGGACACACAAGAACGTGATAAATGTGTGTTTGTATTATAACTGAAGTAATTTTGAACATTTTTGTGCCTGGAGGTTACTCAGTGTTCAGGCAGATACACCTGATGTGTACAAGTAAATATAAACCTTTTGGACCTTGGTAATGTAGCTAATGCACTGACCGGTTTAGTTTTCCTACTTAGAATTTTTTCCTTCTCTTCTAGGAAAGTCTCTTTTGACTACTCCGTGATGAGTAGAAGGTTTATTTTGTTACCTCCCTGTCTATTGGTGGAACTTGTCATCACCAAGATTTTCAATTTCTCAAAAGAGCCTTTGTTCTCATCTCTGAAACCCAATGTTTTATTTTCTGGGTACTATTTTTATTGCTCTATCAAAACTTTCATGCAAGACTCACCTCACAAAGAATATAGACTGTCCTCCTTATTATCTGGTACAGACCTTTAACATCCACAGGTTAAAGGTTTGTGTTGACTGGGCTTGAGTGTGTTAGGGCTGTATTCCATGATGTGAAAGTGATATCATTTTATGTATGTTTAAAAATGTAGATGTTAATTCTAGAAATTAAGCTTTTAAGCCTACAGGATCCTTCTATTATGTATTTTATTGTGTCTGTGGCTTTATGCAGTAGGAGCACATTCTTGTAATTGCATATTTTCCTGTGCAGTTAGGTTCTCTCTTTTTAACCTCAGTTCTAGAAGAGTTTGAGTCATCAAAGGAGCCCATTGCATGCATACTGTAAAAGCTAGATACTGGAACAGATTAGTCAGCCTCTGAACAGCCACCAGTCAGAATTCTTTAATAGGTTATTTAATAGCCAGTCATTCATTTACAGCAATTTGTGAAAATCTTTTTTTTCCTGAGTTACTAATAGGCAGGCCTTGTCTACACTGCGCAATTGACTGGAATAGATATATTCCAGTATAGCTCTCCATGTGGGCACTTTAAATCTGGAATAAAAATCACATTGTTACGAAAGAATTACTTGTGGTTAAATAATGTATCCAGAATACAGTGACTTTTATTTCAGAATAGTGTGTCCACATAGGGGCTATTTCAGAATAGTTCATCTACAATAGCTATCCCTGTGTCAATTTTCCTGTATAGACAAGACCTAACAGTAACAGTTCTGAGAATACAGGAGGAGCAAAGTTTAGCTTAAGAGGAAAGCTATGGAATTGTGATCTCAGAAAGTACATTTTGAATATATCTTTTTAAAAATGTAAGTACTTTAGGCACATTTAAGTGTAGAGGGATATGAGACATGTAGCTTAGCAGACAATCCATTTTAAATATTACTTGAAAAAAAAAATCTGTACTGCTGGTTAATCCATCTAGGTACAGACAGTGCATTGCTGCAACATCTTGCTCAGGTAGTAAGGAGAAAACTATTGTATGATGTTTAACAAGTGTATAATCACTTACTCATAGACTTAAAGGCCAATAGGAACTTTCCCTATTGCTTTTCTTTTCACTGGATTCTTTTATAACAATGTTAGAACAATCTGTAGTGCTAAAGGAACGGAGGGAATATGTATTAAATGGCCATTGGAAATCAGAATTTGGACCAACTGGCACAGTATGGTCTTAATTTGGAGGGTTTATGTGAAACGAGTTGGTAGTTTCAGCCCAATTCCAACTGGACGGACTGGAACACAAAAACCACTGCCACAGTCAGCAGAAATTAAGCATCACCCTTATTGGCTGTTTCAAGTGGCCAAACACTGAGTTGACATGGTGATTAAACTGTGCTCTCAATCCAAGGTGCTGTCCTTCCAGAGGAACGTTGAGGAACGTTGTTGATGGAGTGTATGGAAGAGGATATTACTGCTCCATGTGCTATGCATGTTCTTTGCCTAACCAGAGTATTTGTCTCCTAAGCTATTAATATCACACAAAGATTGCATTTGCTTACAATTATTAATAAAAATAATTAATAAAAAGTAGTCTTGTTCACTCTGAAGGTTGACAGGGGCCACTTGAATGACCAAGTGATCATTTGATTGGTACATAATAGCAGTGACACAACTGTCCGAGAAATTTAGAATTTTGTGATTGGGGAAAATTTGTTTTAAAGGGTACGTCTACACTTACTTCCTGGTTCGGCGGCAGGCAATCGATCTTCTGGGATCGATTTATTGCGTCTTGTCTAGACGCGAGAAATCGATCCCGGATCGATCCCGGAAGTGCTCGCCATCGACGCTGGTACTCCAGCTCGGCGAGAGGAGTACGCAGCATCGACGGGGGAGCCTGCCTGCCGCGTCTGGACCTGCGGTAAGTTCGGACTAAGGTACTTTGAATTCAGCTATGTTATTAACGTAGCTGAATTTGCGTACCTTAGTCCGAAGTGGGGGGTTAGTGTGGACCAGGCCAAAGTCTTCAGCTTTTAAACCACTTTTATTTAAAAAGTAAGAAAAGCATGAAGGCTTAAAAAAATCACAATCCAATTTCATGTAAACCATTCCAAGTTGAAGTAAAGCTTCATTTAGGCTTGGCCCTGCTATTGTCGTCTTAGACTGTAAGTTCAGTTAAAGGCATGTCTCTTACAGTGTGTATGTAGAATGCCTTGCACAAAGGGGCCCTGCTCTCAGTTGTAGCCTCTGAGTGCTACTGTAATACAAATAATTAATAAATGAAACTATATGTCACTCCTATTTAAATCAGTGGAAGATTTGTATATGAATTGCTGGCATAAATGGGTATAATTAGATCAGGTGATATTTTTATCACTCTCGGGGAGTAAACTATGACAAGGAGAACACTATTTCCCCCTCATTGTATTTCTTATTAGGGTGATGCCTATCTCATGGGATAAGCTTACCTTAGGGATGAAATCAGCTTTTTCTCACAGGTTAATAGAATACTATAGAATAAAACTGAGCAAAAAAAGAAAGGTTACAAAATTTAGTCTAAATCTCCCTCATTTTAGAAATTCAAAAATTTAAAATTAAAAAAATGTAAACCAGTGCTAGCTAGACTGGTTTTTTTGGGCAATGTAGGACATCTCATACCTGTTCCTTAGACGGAT